CGACCTGCTGGCCACGCTGCCTGTGATGCCGCCCAGGATACAGTTGGCTTTCTGGCCTGAAAGCGCATGTTGCCAGCTCACATCCAACTTGTCACCCACCAGTGTCCCCAGGTCCTTCTCCGCAGGGCTGCTCTCAACCCATCCATCCCCCAGTCTGTGCTGGTACTGGGGGTTGCCCCGGCCCAGGAGCAGGACCTTGCACTTGGCCTGGTTGAACTTCATGAGGTTCACCCAGGCCCACTTCTCCAGCCTGTCAAGGTCCCTCTGGACGGCATCCCGTCCCTCTGGCGAATCAACTGCACCACTCAGCTTGGTGTCATCCACAAACTTGCTGAGGGTGCATCTTGGAGATAAAGAGCCTGATCCTGCCTCTTTAACACAGTGTTGCTGAGGATTTCAGAGCAGACAGGATAAAGTGAGGGTGAGGATTAAAGCTCATTTTGGTCCTTGCTTGCCAGGATCTAGCTCCTGCCTCCACCCTGCAGGTTTGATCCTGAAGGCTTTGCCAGCTGTGCTGGCAGGAGCTCCCCCGCGGCTCCCTGACCACTGCCGGGGCCGGCCCTGGCAGGGCTGCTCTGACTCTCGGGAAGCCTTTGCTCTCTTCCCACGAGGCCTGTCTGATCGCACTGTCTGTCCCTCTGCCCAGCGCCTGCTGCGGCCAGGACAGGCAGCCAAGGCAGAGTCCGGCCAAGCAGCCCCGGGCAGCCCTTCTGCGAGGATCGTGGCACGGTGCAGCACCCTGGCTTTGCTGGCTCTGTCCGTGCCGCTGCCACCCATGGTTGCACTCGCAGGTTTTACCAGCAAACCGACCTCCCCAAGGTCCTGTTTAGGATTGCGGTGTCCGCAGGCAGTGGGAGCTTGTGGGGTGAGGGAGGCTTACTTTATCCAAGGGGCTGATCCTGCAAGCTCTGCCCTACCCGCGTAGCCCACCCATGCACCTCGGTACAGCATGGACCCCCTCACACCAACGGGTGGTTCAGGCTACCCCGTGCTCCCCAGCACGGAGAGGGGGATAGCTGGTGACTTATTTAAGTGATTAAGTGATATTAAATGATCCATGTCAACTTTTGCTCTTGGGGGAGCTTTTAACTCTTTTCCTGCTGCTCCCGGAGCTATCGCAGCTGCCTGTGAGCCCCCTTGCCCTTTGCCCCAGCCCTCCCGGTACACCGTGGGTTTGCTCTGTGGCAGGACGGCCCCTGACAGCCCATTATGACAGGGTTGGCTGTGCGTGATGGGAGTGTGTCTATCCCAGGGCCTTTAATTATAGAGATAAGGAAAATGAAGTTAAATTGGGGAGAGGGGGCAATTGAACCTCATAGTATCTGCTGTGACTTGTGTCTTCAGGAAAGGAAAGTTATCGTCAGGTTACGGTGGGCACCTGTGGGGTCCAGACACTTCAGCTCCTGACTTTCCCATTGATGCACCCTGTGATTTTTTGGGGACTAGTCTCTAAGCAGGCGGGTGTCAGGGGAATGAGTGCTGCTCCTGGGAGGGGCAGAGGGGGAGACTGGCTTTGTTACTGTCCGGTGAAAGCTGCTGTCAAGTTTTAACAAAATAAAAATAAGAGGTTTTCTGCTCTCTGTTTTGACTATGTAATTTATTATTTGGCTTTCAACTCGCTTGAGGATGACTCCTTGCTGGGGGCTCTCCAAGCCAAGCCTGCAGAGCGGAGGAGAGCGCTCCGGTCCTGTCCGGGCAAGGAGTTTCGGCAGGGCTGTGCATGCCGAGTCAGCCGGCAGTCCAGCAGCAAGCTCATTCTATGCTGGCTTTGCTGAGGCAATGGGGAAAATGTCTGCCTGGCTCAGACCTTGGCCTGCAGTAGCTGCTGGGGTGCTTTTCTGGGTGACCTTCCCCTTGCAGCTGGGCTGGGGCCACCGGCCTCCTCCTGTCCCCCCGTGTGCCAGCTCTTGTCCCCATCTCTCTGCTGTTGTGTGGCATGCCTGTCTAGGAGGGAAAAAAAGGCTGAAATTTGCAGGGAGGCCACTAGCCAAGGCAGGCCAAGAGCATTTCCAGTGTCCTCCCCAGCGAGGCGGGCTCAGGGTGCAGCACAGGGGACCCTCCTGTCCCCAGCCCCTTCAGCCCTGGTGTGTCACCCTGAGAAGCTGCACGGTGACACTGGGGTCAGCCTTGGCTCAGCACTTCTGCCGGCCTGGGAATGCTGCAGACAGAGCTGCCCCAGCTCAAAAAGTGGATGAGCCTGCTCTTTGCCTTGCACCGGGCCAGGGCCATGGTGGCCTTGGGGGATCTGAGTCCCCCATGCCTGCCACGGGCTGCTGGGTGCTTCCTGCCCCTCTCCCTCCTGCCTGGGGACCTGGGGAAGAGCAAGCAGTGGGGAAGCCCTGAGATATCACTAGCAGGTACCTGGGAGCAATAGGGTTTCTGCTGCAATTGGATATTTAATACATTTATTAAATAATAATAATATTCATATAATATTAAAAGATATTTAATATATAGGCAGGTGCTCCAGGCAGCTGCCAGATTTCAGATTGCAGGCAGGGAGAACTGGCGTGTAATTAAACCATGCCTGTGTACCGCAGCCTTCAGGGCTGTCCTGGGTGCCCTTTGCCAGCCTAGCCTGGGGGAGGATGGATGCGCACATGGGTCCCGTGGGAGGGAAATCCCCACTGTGCTCAGCACAGAGCACACGAGAGAGCCCGATGGGCCAGTTTCCATCCATTGCCCATCTGGATATCAGCCCCTCTTCATGTTGTTTCCCTCACTTATATTATTATGCTTTAATGCTCCAGGAAAGGGGGTTGTCTGGATAATTTAATTGTGAGTGCACTGGAGGACAACAGCAAAGCTGTGGCTTTGCTATGGTCCTGGTGGTGATGGGGGCTGGGAGGTGAGAGCTGCCTTAGCTCAGCCTGCATCTCTCACTGCAGTCGGAGGAAACGGCTCTGTCATGTCTCAGTGCCCCAAAACCCTCTGCTCAGTGCTTCCAGGGGAAGCCAGGAGCCCCCTTAGGACACAGAGCGGGGAATCCTCGCCGATCTCCAATCCATCCTGGCGAGAGGCTCTTTGAGTCTCAGCCAAGTCTGTTTTGAACACGCCGTCCCAGCTGGGACCCAGCTCGTTTAGCTGCAGCCGCTCCCCTCAGATGGATGTGGGCGCAGGGTGCGAGTGGAGGGGATGAACCACGGTGGTGGGGGGCTGACATCCCGGAGGGAGTGGGAAGCATGCGGCTTGGGGGGGGGCGGACCCCTGAGCACCAGGGCGTGGAGCCAGGCACGTCTGTAGCCGCGTGGTCTGCCCTGCACCTCTGGGGCAACTAAAGTCACCTGGGGCTTGAGACCTGCTCAAGGGGACACGGAGTGTCACACTGCTGCCCCAGCCGTGCCAGGGAGGGAGAGCTGGGTGTTGTGGGGCTGCTTCACGCTCCAGCACTCCCTTCTGCATCACGGGGCAGCAGAGATGCAGGATGAGCCCCCGAAGCCCAGGGGATCCCACCCATGGGGAAAGGCTCCCCTTGATTTTTCATTTTCTGCCTTGTGGAGCAGGTGTTGTACCTCCCGAGAGGTACAAAGGCACAGCGATCCCACAATGGATAAATACAAGCATGCCTGAGCCCCAGAACCACAGCAAGCACCCAGGCCAGCCGTCCTTCCCAGCAATGTTGAGGCTGGAGAGACCATTTCAGTGGGGGGGGGGGGGGGGTGTCTGAGCTAGAACTTGAGCTGTTGGGGAACTGGCACGTGTATGCACCAAGGCACAGACACATTGTGCCTCCCTGCACCCTTCCCATTCCATGTTGTCCAAGACCACTTGCAGGCTCTACGCCACCTTGGTCGGCAGAACCATGAACTGGGGATTTGCCCTCTAAGTGCACCCACAGCAATGTGCCAAGTGAGGCAGCAGACAGCTGTCCCCTCTCCCCGCATCTAGCTCTTGATGGCATTTTAATGCCCTTTAATGTCTCTGGACCAAAAAGCATTTCCTCAGCGCAAATATCACTCTGCACCTTGTGGCTGCCATCTGTCTGTGCCTCTCCAAGAGCTTTGCAGTCATTAATAAAATTAGTGAGTCCTAACCTCCCCCTGAGCTGCGGGGAATGTGTTTCCCCAGGGGTAAAACAGTGATGAGTGTAGATGGAGCGGAGACTCGCCCAGGGCTGGGATAACACCGTCCTCACCCTGCCCCGCTGCGTGTGTGTGGGAGGGGGCGGCATGCTTGCTGCCGCTCGCTCCTGCATGCTGGTGCCTGTGCGCTTGGTGCCGAGACAAGCCATAGCCAAGCGCTTTGTCCCGGGGCTCCTTGTAAGGTCCTTGTAAAGGAGCAGTGATGACACGTGTGACAGTGTCATCTTCTGGGGCTGGAGGGTGGCAATGGAACGCAGCTGCATCAGAAGAGCATCCCTGCAGATATGCACGCACACAGAACAACAATAACAGTAATGACTTTCAAAATTAAACCAGCCTCAAGCAGGTATCGGCACAGGCAGGGCTCGAGCAAAACGCTTAGCAAGGGCTTCGTGGGACCCAGCTTGAGGGGGTGAGGGCGGCCACACTGGCGTGGCTGTCAGTGGGTTGGTGGTGGGTTTTAGGGACGGCTCGTGCCATCGGTCCTCAGACAGGACAGCAGCATTGCACCCTTTGCCCTGCCCTTCCAGCAAGGCTTAGTGCCACCAGCCACGCTCAACGCCCGTTCAGTGCCAGGGGAGGCAGGTCCCAGCCTGACTTTGGGACAGTGTTTGGTTCTGCCCCTGCCAGCTCTGACGGATGGGTCCCCTGGGACACACTACCCATGAGGAAGGGGACATGATGCAGGGCTCGGTGCAGGCAAGGGGCTGCAGGGCATGGATACCCAGCCCTTCACTGCTGCTTTCAGACACAGTGCATGATGCCCTTGGAGATGCCGGCAGCTGGGACAGCCCACAGCACAGATCAGTGCCAGAGCCACCATTTTCACTGGCCCCTCCGGCCCGTCTGAGCCCCCCGGGATGCAGGAGGGGCACGCTGCCAGCCAGTCCAAATGCATTATTCCTTTTTCTTTCCCTTTTACAGGCCTTTGCACTGAAGCCAAGTGAAGAACCTCAGAATTGCACTACACACCATTTAACTCAGCTACAATTTCGCTAGCAGCAAAGCATCTGCGCCACCACCGAGACCTCGAGTGCTGTTTTTTTTCCCCTCCCTGCCCATCTCTCCCTTCTCTGTGCCTGGAAGCCAGTGTTCAGCAGTAGCTCTAACTCACCGTCCGTCCCGCTGGACCACTCCACACCATGTTTCAGCGTCTCACCAGCCTCTTCTTCAGTGACAGCAACACACCGGCAGGCCTGGAGGAGCCCAAACCCTTTGTCGAGGAGGAGGAGGAGGAGGATGGCTGGCTCATAATTGATCTTGCAGGTGAGAAAAGCAGGGGGGACTGGTTTCCCACAGCCTCTGCTGCACCTTGTCTCTCTGGAGCTGGGCAAACCCCTTGAGATGACAGCAGATGAGCTTCTATCCCGCGTGATCAGCTCTGCCCTTCATCCCTCCTCCCCTGGTCCCCCCACCCTGCCTGTGGCCCCCAGTGGTCGCTGCAGCAGCCCCTGACCTGCTCCTCCTTTTTCCCTTTCCTCTCTCAGTGGTGGTTCCCAACTTTCTGGCAGCGTGGGAGCAGCAGCAGCAGCAGCCTCCCGGGCCAGGGCTGCTGCTGCCCTGGAGCTTCCAGGTGCCCCTGCGCCAGGTTGGGACCCTGGCACAGCACCAGCCCAGGGAGGTCACCCAGGGTTTTGGTGCGATCCTGCCCGCTGGGGGCTTGGAGGGGGATGCCAGCCCACGTGGTCTGTCTGCCTGAGAGCTGTGGCAGAGCCGTGGCCTCGGCTAAGCTGTGCCGTGGGCAGCACTTTGCCTGGAGGAGCTGGGCTCAGCTGCTCCCTGCAATGCCCCTGCTGAAAGCAAACCAGGAACCTGTTCCCCTGGGGGAAACCCTGGTCCCTGGGCACTGGTGGGGGGCCAGGGTTTTCCCCATATGAGGGCAGGCAGCAGCGGTCCCATGTCCCAGCTGGGGACGTGCTGCCGGTGATCTGGCCATGTTTGGGTCATTTGAGTCCATCAGGAGAGCAAATCTCAACTCCAAAGGGCTTATCTTCCCAAATCATTCCCAGTGCCCATGCCAACAGCACTCAGACAAGGGGTGTTTGGCTCAAGGTCCCTGTACGCAGAGATCCCTCAAGGGTTCCCCTTTCCCAGGGACGGTGACTACCATCCGGAGCCCTGCTTGACACCAACCAGGCGGGTCAAATTCCTTGTGTGTCAAGAGCTTCTCTAGCTCCATTAAGACCTTGGCATTGCTATTGTAGGGTCGATGACTCAACCAATTGCAATGATAATTTTATGACCTTTTGCTTGCACATTGAGCAGCAAACTTAGAAAACAAGCCTGCTTGTGCAGGAGATCCTTGGTGGCCATGGTCTGCTTTTGCAGCCTCTGGTTAGTTGTGGTGCCCCACTAACTTTGGGAGGAGGGTTTCATCCTCCCTCTTGCAGGCATCTGTCCTGAGAGCAGATGCTCCCTGCCTGTCTCCTGTACACTGAGCAGAGCTCGTTTTCATGATGCGAGTCATTCGTTAGGGTTTTTCCCCCATGTGGTGAGCTGGAGAGGGGACCAGAGCACGGACAAGCCTGGGATGGGGGACAGGGACAGCCCCGTGCCTGGTGGGAGCACTGTGGAGAGCTGGTAGAGGTGGATGGGTGGCATGGGCCCAGGCAGCCATGGAGGATTCCCTGTCCTCTGGGCTCTCTGGTGACTGTCCTGGGGGGGGCACAGCAGTGACACGGGAGGGGGCTGGTTGCAAGGAGGTCCCTGGAGCAACCGACACACAGCTGCCACGTGTCGGGGCCAGCTGGCAACGGCTGCGACATGCCCAAAGCATGCCAGAAGGAGCCAGGAGTTTCCCCAGACAGAGAAACGCTGGGCTGTGCCCTGATCCCCCGGGTCCGAGACGGCAGCCGGCTCAGCAGAGACCCAGGGATGACTTCAGTACAAAAGGCTCCCTTTTTTTTTTCCTCCAATCTAGCAGCCAGGCTCTTGGTGCAGAGCTGGCTTTCAGCAGTGTGTCTGCCTGGGACATGCCACCCCACTGCTAATCCCCACTGGCACCCCCGCTGCCTTTTCCCATAGCATTCCCCGGCCAGTGAGGGACCGATTTATTTCAGCCATATTTCTGAGGCTGGAGTTATGCAAAGCACTTTAAAAACTAAACCCACTGGCTCCAGCCCCCATCCTTCACCTTTGAGCCACGGCGGCTGACAAGCATCTCACAGCCTGGCTCCCTCCCAGCAGCGGGGCAGCCTAACAAGCCTCCAAATTAATTCCCTCTCAGCCAGGTCTTTGACCCATGTGTTGCAAAATGCATCTGCATTAGCCATATCTCCTGGGAGCGTTTCAGATGCCCCTCTCGCCCCATCACCCAGCCTGGCTCTGCTCAGCACCCAGGGAGGGAGCAAAGAGCATTTCCCAGTGCTTAGTGATATGGCTGCAAGTCACCCAGGGATTTGGGGACCCCAAAATATTCCTTGTGATGTTAAAACTCACCTTGGCAAAGGGTGGGGACAGGTAGCCATGGACGGCTGGGGCAGGGTTCAGTTGCGCTGGGTCCCCTGCTCCGCGTACCCACAGCCCCCCCCTGTTGTGGGAGCGCTGCCGGACCGGGAACGCTTCAGCCAGGCTCAATGGCTGTCTCCAGGCTGACGAATAATCTCCAGCCCGGCATGTCAACAACTATTAATAGGCTGATATGCACTGACCTGAAGAAAGACACTCTCATGTTCACAAGGCTAATTGTGGCCTGCCCTAAGCCCTGGGCTGGGGCATCGTCTGCGGGAGGAGCCGGGGACGTGCTGGGTGGCGAATGCTGGCCCCATGCTTCATGTGCTGTATTTCTCCATCGCAAGAACACATTCACCTCTGATTTATCTTGCACCCTCACCCAGCCACAGGGTCACATGTGTCCATATAGATACTGCACCACATCCCTCCCTGAGACCAGTTCCCTCGAATCCCCCTGATGAGGCCGGGAATGGGTCTGGGTGTCCCAATGAGCCCAACATTAGGCGCAGGCTCCCTTCCCATAACACAACCAGTAATTCTGAGCACAGGCAGAAAAAGCACCAGCCCAAATGCTTTTGCCAGGTGGAGATGAGGAAGGGAAGGCAAGGAAGGCTGGGGTGTCGGAGGGGTGTGGGTGGCAGCTCCTGGTTCAACCACCCAAAACTTGGCCTCTAATGGACTGAAGCTGAAGGCGCAGCGAAAACCTTTGCTGAAGAATTTAGTCCCCTGGTCTCTTCCAGAAAAAAAAGGTGTGAACTGGTTTTTTTCCTCTGTGTATGCTTGGTTTCAATGTTTGCAAAGTGCCAGGCAGTGTTTGCAATCACAGGCGGGCCATGGCACAGCTCAGGTGCCGCAAGAACAGGCAAAAGCAGCGTTTCTTGCTGGCTCAATTTCTTCCTTCATTTTGAGAAGGAAAAAAAAATTGCTGTGGTAAACCCTGCTGGTTTCCCCCAGTTTTTGGTTAAACTGCCTAACCAGAACCATTTCCATTGTCTGCTGGCTTAGCACAGCCGGACCCCGCAGCACCGGCAGCTGCCCCGGTGCAGAGGGTGCTGGTTGGGATGCGGTGCAGGGCACTGCTGGTGTCTCCCTCCCCATGAGGGCCCGTTGATGCCATGTTTGTCTCTAGCGGTGGTGATGGTGGTGGGGTGTCTCTTGCACTAACGATGCCCCTTTCTCTCCCCCTCCCCTCCCCACTGTACATGGTATGTGTGTGTGTCCCCGCTGCGCCCCGCATGGCTCTGCACCCCCGCCACCCCCAGGCAGCCGTGCC